CAGTACACAACACTACACGGGTTATGGCTAGAAAGGATCCGTCTAGTGTAAATATGACGTCACGTTCTCGTTGTAACTCTCGTTGTAATCGGAGCGGCTCGGAAACACATCTATAGCAGTAACATGATGCAACATACACATTAATGCAGCAGCAATATTAATAGAGAAACATCAGACATAATAGTAAAACACTGCAAGGGAACATTTTATTGCACCAGGAGCTATCTTGGGACTTTTACTGCGACAACGTTGACTTGCCTGTGAATAAAAAATAAACCATAGTGTTGGTGATCTACAGTGTTGTCATTCTTCTTTGAACACCAGCAAGACCGCTTTTCAACAATCACACTCCCTGTCATTGACATAACTAATAGATAGTTTAGCTTCTCACCATCATTTGCTGTGGCCAACTGATGTTAACGATCCTAACTGAAAGGCTGCCTGCCAAACGTAAACATTCAGCCACGTGACATTCAGCCGAACTCTCGCGAGAGTTTTACACAAGACGGATCCTTTCTAGCCATAACCCTGCAGCTGGGTGATATTGCATATTTGGGTTACACAGCGTCTGTGCTTCTTCCGGTCGGGCAGTGTTTGCTATTTTCATCGTTGTTTCGGTCATGTTTAGGAGTGTTTTTGGCAGACTGCTGACAGAGACCGGGTGTGTTCTCCGCGGTGTGCAGAGGAGGCCGACCCACGGCGGTGTGTCTCTGCGGGGCCTCTCAGGGCTGAAGGACAGGGAACAGTTTGACCTCTCCCTGCTGGAGCTGCTGGTGTGTCCGCTGAGCAAGAAGCCGCTCAGGTAACAAACAGACAGACTAACAACAACATTTACATTTAGGTAGGCTTTTTTTGCATTGCAGCCCAATAATATATATGCGAAGCGTCGTGGCTCCTGGTGCTCCGAACCGGCCCGATCACGCCTTTCTGTTTGCGATGTGTTCTGGCGTTAATAAAAAGACCGGAAGTACTGGCTCTTCTTTTTTATAACTCTGTTGTCCAAGAAAATCAAAATCAGCTGTTTCCTTTTGTGACAGACGCCTGTCCTCTGTCAGGTGGACACAGACTCTTTACAATTAAAACGTCATTAAGTACTTAAAACTATTAAATAATAAAAAATATATAATACAATTTGAAATGCTTAATAATAGTATATTGTCGGAGGCGGTGTATCGAAAGTACAAGCTAGACTTTTATTAAGCATCATGAAAGCATATAAACACTTCAAGCCCGTGAAGACATGACCGGCGGAAACAAAAAGTCCGGTTAACTCAAATGTCCGTGCGGATCAATGTGGTGAATTATGTCAACCCACCACAATATCAATATTAATCACATACAAATACTATATAATGTGACTGATCAATATGAAATGATAATTATATAAACTATACAATTACATTGAGCAATACAATTCGAATTGATCTCTAACATAACCTAAAATAACAATTTACATCAGTAGACTATATAAAAAACGTAAAATCCTATGTGAAGACAATAAAATAACTTCAACAGACCGTAGTGTTGCCATAGCAATAACTTATTTAATATTTATATTTTAAATTATTTGTATGATAACCGTCACGGCTCTCTTGATGAAAACAACAAAAAAGTATTATAGATTTTATTCCTTTTACTTATTCTCTAAGATGTTAATCATAAAAATAAATAAGCGATCTCAAAATATGAACAATGTTGTTCATATGAGTGGAACATTACACTCATCAGCCATCGAGAAGTGGAAAACTCCTTTTTATTATTAGTTTTAGTTTCATGTCCGTGTAATGCCTGCGTATAATTCTTATTACTGATAATAAATGTCTCTAAGAGTGCTGCAGTAAATATATAATGATGAAGGCATTTTCCAAAAACCTTACATAGAAATATTTACATTTAATGAGTGTAGCTTCATTGGTGTGGTTCAGGCCCAGTGTCCTCTAAAGCCTGTGTTTGAACAGGGGAATATTGATTATGTCCAGGCCGCCAGGAGAAAACTTCATAGTTTAATTTACCAATTTTCATGTCAAAGTTTAGTCAGTACACAAAATGAAGCGCTACATGAATTCTGATTTAAATCTAGACATTGAAAAGCATTTCCATCAAATTTAGTTAAAAAAATTCACATGTAAATCAAAAGAACTCAAATGTGTATCTTGTGTCCCTGCTCAGGTATGCAGCTGAGACCAATGAGTTGATCAACGAGGAGCTCGGTATCGCCTACCCGATCATCGACGGCATCCCTAACATGATCCCTCAGGACGCCAGACTCATACAGAAACACACAGATCCCTCCCCCACTCCAACGCAGGTGTAAAAACTCCAGCTGACCCAACAAAGACTGTTAACATTAGAGCGACTTAAGGCTCAAGTCTTCTGTAACGGCTCAGACGTCTGTGAGCATGTTCTCCCTGTCTGTGATGGTGGGGCTGGTGCCCATCTTGTCTCTCTTCGGTCTCTTCTACTCGGCTGCAGTGGATGAGAACTTCCCTCAGGGCTGCACCAGCAGCAGCAGTGTGTGTTTCTACAGCCTGCTGCTGCCCGTCACCATCCCCGTCTACGTCTTCTTCCACCTTTGGAGCTGGATCGGGATCAAGCTCTTCAGACATAACTAGCATGTTCTGTTCTACCTGAAAATACGTCAGTACCAATAAATCATCTGCTGTCATCTTACGTTTCTGCACCTAGTTTGTTTCTTGGTTAATAAAAGGCATTAGAAGTTTGACATCAAATCGATACAGTACATGCACAGCTTTCATAGTTTAAAAACTGAAAAGGTTGCTTTATCCACATATCAAATGAAATACTGCTTTAATACATATTAAGTTGGGGGGGATCCAGAGGTGGGGAAAGTACTCAGATCTTCTACTGAAGTAGAAGTACCAGAGTGTAGGAATACTCTGTTACAGTTAAAGTCCTGCATTGCATATGTTCCTCAAGTAAAAGTAGAAAAGTATTTTTTTTAAATATAGTGAAAGTAGCGACAGTAAAAGTAGTCATTGTGCAGATTGGTCCATTTCAGAATAATATATGATATGTTTTATAATGATTGATCATGAAAGTGTTCTTAAAGCTGGCAAAGGTTTAGGTTAGGTTATCACGGTTTCTTTCTAGTTTGAATGACTTTGTATACTGCAGGGTAGCTTGTGGATTTACTCCAGGTGGAACTAAAGTCTGATTTAACACTTGATTATATTTCACATCATTCATCCACATCTGTGAAGTAACTAAAGGTATTAAATACATGTTGTGGAGGAAAAGTACACCATGTACCTCTGGATTGTAGTGGGGTAGAAGAACAAAGTAGTAAAACATTGAAATGCTCAAGTAAAGTACAAGTATCTATACTATATACTTAAGTACTGTACTTAGTTACTTCCCACCTCTGGGGGTATCAGGGATATGGGCAATTAATAGTGAAGAGCGGCTGTGTGTAATAACTGGCAGGAATACTAGGATTATGTTTCTTTTGAGTAGTGGTCCCCTGCTTGCTTTAAAGACACAATGCTTGTTTCAGTCGCAACAGCTTAAACACAAGCCATGGTGAAGTGTTGAACATGACAGAGCAGTCAATCCTGAATGTGTGTTTGGAACAGTGTGAGGTTCCAAGTCCTATTGTTTCATTCTCCACCTTAATGTAGTTCAAGATGTATGAGCAGAAATGGTTAGAAAAGCGATGTATGTCATGTAAAAAATGACAAATAGCTTTTGAGGTGACATTAATAAAGAATAGGACACCACTTAATGTTGAAGCATCACTGTGTAATATACAACTAGAAGACTGTATATGTTACATATTGTATAGTAAGGACTAATTAGACACAATAAATACACTTGAATTGATAAAAGACATGCTTTCACTTCTAACTGGCGATGAACAAAGCAGAACTACAACTTGATGTCGCAATTCCTGCAACTTTCCAAACGTTCTTTGTGATAACACACAACCTCTGCACTTAAAAGCCTTTACAATGTCGTAGGAAAGTTTAACTTGAAAATTCAAACAAAGAAAGAACGCATAAAGTGTTATGTCATATTTCTCCATTAGTTCATTTTTAGGCTGAGCTTTTCTCTTATTGTTCAAGAGGACTATTTTGTGTGTTTCATGTTTCCATCCAACAGGATGAATTGAACCTTCTTTGTATTATGAAATGATTGACTGCCCTCACAGTGTTGGCGTCACAGCTGCTCTAGCACCAAGAGCTCAATTATAATTGAACTGTAAAACTGATACATGGCTATTCTTTAACCCGAGCCTCTTGAATGCTGTTCCAGACATTAAAGGGCTCCTCACAATAAGCGGTAAGCATGGTGCAGCCACTGACTGTGGGTCAGTGTCTCTTCCTGCCTTCTTTCAGCTCTCTGCCCTGAGCCAGCTTCATCAGTGGAGACTCTGGGCGGGGGGATCGTCCCTCTCCTTTGGTCTTGAAGAAGAAAGACTCATTGAGTCTCATCTGGACTGCCCTCACCTGAAGTCACACAAAAGTCACTTTGTTATCAAACAGTGGCATAGACAAGCCTTACCAATGAGGCGTTTGCTTATTATAGAGATAACGTCAAATCCATTTCCATCAATAGAAAGAAATAACAGTTTGAAAGATAAGGGAACGATGAGTCCATGCTCTCAGCCGTGGGGCCAGAAACAATGGTTGGCTTGGTTGTCCAACATCATTTCACAGGCACCTTTGAAACACACATTTATATGGTATACTTTTTGTTTTTAGCTTTTTAGAGTTTTATATTTTGGAATGAAACAGATTGACAAAAGTGGTTTTAGAATTCTGTAGCAGATAGCACTTTTTCCATTAGCAAGAAAGACCTAACCGTTACTGAAGCTTGTGTCACTCATTTGGTATTTGTATCATTTCAAGACAACAATAAATACATAATGCTCATTTGTGGTTGTATAAAAGTTCACTTCAGAAATGTATGTTTGTATTTTAAAAAGAAATCATTGCCTTTTTGAGTAAGTTTTGTATTTACATTGTTACTTACTGCAGGTTAACGAAGAATCAAGTGATGCAGACTATAAAATGGTAGCTCCAGCTTTCACTGGTGATCACATCTTTGTGTTGCCGGGTCAGATTTGGTCCACATGTCACTATTCTTTGATTTTCAGAGTAGTGATGAAATATTGCTTAGCTCTTCAAAAGGTAGTATAATGTCAAGAAGAATCAAAATAGTATTTTCTCTTCGTCAAACCCTATTTTTACAAAAGGACTGGTTAAATTCAGTGACAACATTATGAAACAGGTACAAGTTATTATAAGATATAGGTTGTTTGGTGGATGCATGGAGCAGGGTGGCTGTGTTTCCTGTGGTGTCACCTGGGTCAGGTCCAGCTTGCCGGAGCGACCGGGGGGCTCATCCTCGCTGGAGGTGGTCATGTCTGCAGACCAATGCTGTCCAGAAGGCTCTTTCTCTCCATCTTTCCTGTCTGAACAACCAGATTCATGTAAGTTGGGCTCTTTGTGGTTGTTGCCTCTGATCCCTCCGAGTGGTGACAGACACATCCCAAGATCTTTCCGGGCCCTCTGCGGCAGGCTCAGGTCCAACGGTTTCAATTCGTCATGATGAGCAGCCACTCTACTGTTTTCGTAGAACTTGAGGTAAGAGCATAGTTCAAATGTGAAGAAGTTTTCTGTCTGTGTTGAAGTGGTTTCCATGAACCTATGGCGAGGCACCGATAGTTCTGATGAACATAATGCAGACTGCTGGGTGGCACATTTTGATTTTGACTGTGCAACGGGTAAGGGCTTTAAATCAGTTGCCTCCTCCAGGTGTTTCTTCACCACAGCAGGCTTTACATGTGAAGGGTGTGACACTCTTTTCTCATCAGTAAGGTGTGCATTTAAATGCACCTGTGTTTGAATAGATGACGTTCCCTTCTTGGGGTTCTGATCTGCTTTCTTCAACCCGTCTTCCTCCACTTCTTGTTTGAAACACACCTGTACTGTGTTTGTCTTCTGCACATGCGTGTTGGTCTTTCTGGGCTGTTGCTGGACATGTACTTTTTTGTATGGTCCTCCACAATGCTGTTCTACCCAGGGCATATATGTGTGCAGCTCGTTTCGAGGTGTCAACCTATGAGGACTAGTCATAGGAGCTTTGTCACTGGTTTCCTCACTGGAAGATTCAGACGGCGATGTTCTGAAAGTCTTCTGGGTGATAAACAGGTCCTGGCTGTTCATATCCTCACTGGTGCATTGGGACTCATACGCCTGTGTCACTGTGACCTGAGCACAGCTCCCACTGTCTCTCACAGCTTCAGGCTCTGTGAGGATGCTCTTTATGGGCCTCTGCTCAGATGAAGAGAACCATTTAGGATGTTTGACTGGGATGTTGCCAGGTGATAAGTCAAATGTCACATTCTTTTTTCTTTTGGTTTTCTTATTGCAGTCAGATTTTAGCTTCTCACCACCGGGTGGATTTGATGTTTCAGTGTGTTCAAATGTTGCACTGCTGCCCTGTGGAAGTATAAAACGGTCCCCAAGTTCCAAGGCTACTTTATTTTTATCTTTTTTCTTCTCTTTCCTCACATCCTTTGCTTCTTTACATTTCGAATGTTTCTTTTTCTTTTTTTTGGGGATATTCTCATCAGTTTTTATTTTAAGGTCGTTTTGACGTTTTGGACATTTCTTGTCCTTTTTAGTTTTCTTTTTTCTTTTTTCTATTCCAGGTGTCCATTTCCAAGCCTCGTAGAAGTCCGTCTCCTCCCAGTCACTCATGGCTCTGTTCAACAGAAAGAGGAAGGTGCATAGTTACAGTCAGCAGGTATATATTAGTCTGACACTGCTGGTATGTATATAAACACACTAAACACAACAGAAAAAACACTTTGCAAATATTCCATGAGAGAGGTGTGTAGAAGAGGGACGAGTTGCAAAGAATGTGATCATAAAATGTTTTATTTATTTAAAAAGTAAATTAAAAGAATATTCTTTTGCAAGATCCTATTTGCATCATGTACAAAAACAATAACTCAAATGAAGAAAAGGCAGACATTACATCTGTGTAGTTTTTGACTTTATTTCCAGCTTTCTTTCAGAAACAGACATTGGAATAAGATTATATCAAGTATTTTGATATTATTTAATTTTTTGTTATCTAAGCAAAACTCTAGATTCTCCAATGTGAATATTGTTTAGCTCTATTCTGTTTCTATGTCCTTGTGCTTTTAAACTGAAAACAATCAAGTTCAATTGGTCTTGCTGAAAAATACTTTTTCAATGTTTGATAGACTAAAGTTCCATGAAATAATTAATTAATGATATGTTGAGCAGATTTATTGATGATGAAAATAATTGTTCATTAGTCTGAGTTTTCTGTCATTGGGTTTTCCCAAACTACCTTTCAATCGGGGGGTTCATGTGTTATTCTACAGTGAAGATGTGAACAGCAATCATCTGAAATGATGTTTTTGATGATAATGTGGGGAGAGTGTTGTTTTTACGTGACCCTCCAAAATGACACATATGGTGACATATCAAAGCATTCAGTGACACACACTGCCCTGTATGGAAGTGTTTGTCATGCTTTCATTTGATGTGTCAAAGAAAGGCTATATATATAAATGCTGTAATGTATGTCCTGTATTACACACAATATGGAAGACCATTTCCGCCACTTGAAAAAAAAAAAATCCCCATGAAAAGTCATAATTATGAGATAAA